CTGGATTCAGAAAAACTCCTCTGCCTGAGTTCAAATCCAGCCTCAGACACTTACTAGCTGTGTGACCCTGAGCAAGTCCCTAAACCCTCTTTGCCTCAGTTTCCTCATCTGTCAAATGAGCTGGAGAAGGAAATGGCAAACCACTCCAGTATCTTTACCAAGAAAACCCCAAATGGGGTCACAAAGAGTTGCATACAACTGAAAAACGACACCTTGGTCTACAGACAGTGAGATTTCAAAGAAGCATAAGATGCTTTGAAACTTGTTACTTGTGATGTCAGTCACTATTTCACTCTTGTAAATAAATCATAAGATTATAGATTTGGAGCTGGAAGGGACCTTAGAAGTCATCAAGTTCAATCTCTTCATGTTACAGAAAAGAAAACTGAAGCTCAGAAAAATTATGCGATTTGCTTAAGGTCTCATGGAGAATAAATAGCAGAAGTAGGATTTGAATCCAGTATCTTTGACTCCAAACCCAGCACTCACTGTTTCTAGTTCCCTTCAGAGTAAAATAAGGAAATACTTAAGAACATATGTTTTCCAGGTATGGTGTGTCTGCTCTGTCCAGAGAATCTTAAAATGCTAGAGTTGGAAATGACCGTCAAATGGTCTAATCCAAACCTTCACAAGGAAACAGCTATGATATCATGGAACAAATCCCAGATTCCCAATTGGAGTCATGACACTTGGGTTCTGGTCCTCTGTGACCAAGGACCACGTTATTTAACTTCTCTGAGACTTAGTTTTCTCATCTGTAAAATGTAAATAACAATACTCACAGATAACATAGGGTTTTGTGACAGTCAAATGGTTTACAAACTGTACAGTACACCAGAACTATTATCAAAATGTGTCTAAGCATGTAATAGGCCCAGTTAGATTAAGGATTTGCTCAAGGTCATACAGTGTATAATGCCAAGATACTGCAATTAAGATATCACTATTATAGAAGTCTAGGCAGTATGCTGGGTTTGGAACCAACCTAGGCTCACAACCCATCTCTGACGTACAATGGCTATGCCACTTAACATCTATGTACTTCAGGCAGCTCCATCACATCTATCTTCCATTAAGTTACAGGTGGGTGAGATAACAGATCCTTTGCCATTTTGTGTTTTGTTTTATAACAAGATCTAGGAATTATTCCATGTAGGAAACTTCCAGTAAGGAAATGCCTTTCACCTACAAAGGTCGGTACCTGTTCGGTAAATTACAGTCTTATTAGTGAGTCATCTGAGACATCAAGAGGCTAAGTGCCGTGCCCAGGGTCACACAGAGAGTATGCACCAGGGGTGAGACTTGAACTTATCTTCATGACTTTATGCTGTTGGTTGTCTGGTATAGTGGAAAGCTCAGTGGCTCTGGAGCAAACAGGAGTTCAAATCTCACCTCTGGTGAGGCCTTGGAAAAAGTCATTTAACCTTCACGAGCAGGATTCCCACTTGGACTTGTTTGATTTCTCCACCATGCACCCATGGGAGTCCTTCCTCCCCCTCTTTTCAACTTTTTTTGGGGTGTTGTCTTCCCCCGTTTTGCTGTAAGCTCCTTGAGGACAGGGACTATCTTTCTTTTTTGTATTTGCATCCCCAGAGCTTTGCACAGCATCTGGCACATACTAGGTGCTTAATAAATGTTTTTTTGATTATTGTCGTTTCCTGGAGACGCTTGTGAAGAGGCACTGAAGCAAATAAAAGTGTCCCTCGCACAAGTTGTTCTTTTATCATCTTCGGTTTCTGCTGAGTAAGCAGTCATTGGGTGAAAGTAAGGTGATTTTAGTGTATGTAAGGAGGATTTTGTTATTCCTTTTTAGATAGTAATTCCAGGATCCTAGACAATATTTCCTATGAATTATGGTTAAAAACAACTTCTACCATGCAGTCGCAGTAGAGATATGGGGATGACATAATGTATGCCTACGCTATGCTAGGTCATGATGATATTGCTAAAAGTTAACCTATGAGCTTAATGTTGGCAAAATGCCTTCTTTGTCTGTTGCCCTATAAAGCAAGTGGACACTGGTCAGTGGGTGGGGGAACCCATTTTGGGGATTTGGGTAATGCATAGAGAAATGCATGCATCTGCCTTGATTGGCTCCCATCAAGGCTTAGGGGATCTCGAAGGAATCATATTCCTATTCTCGCCTGCCCCTTTGAGAAATGTGATTAGAGAATGCCGTGGGAATTGGTGTTCCCATTATCAGCAACCCTTTTGAGAAGACACTAGAATAAGGCGAGCTTATTTAACCCTTTCGAAGCTGTCTTCTTGTCTGACCAGATCAAAAGCGAACCTGCACTAGAACACTTGTTAGTGTTAGGAGCCCTCCTGTATTCTCCTGCCCAACAAATGGGGTTACCTATGTTTTTACCTGTGAAACAATGGTCAAGTTATTGGAGCCACACCTCTGATGTTTCCAGTTTTCATTTTACTAGAGGAGGAAAAGGAGAGAAGTGCAAAGCACCAAGAAATATAGTACAAACCCAGCCCCAAGCTTCGAAGGCAAGCAGGGGTGTGGGGTTTCTGGCTCTGCTTTATTCTTGTTCACTAGGAGCTGGTAGGCTATAAGATCCTTGAGGTCAGAGGCTTGGTCATCTCTCATCTTTGGACCCCCAATGCCTAGCTCAGTACCTGGCACGTAGTGGGAGTTTTGACAAATGTTTCCTGAATTGTTGAAATGAGCCCTGTAGGGGGTGGTTACGAACAACCTAGCCCTCTCTCTCCAAGAAGAGTTCAAGATCCCAAAACCAAGAAGAAGGTTCTGCTTCTCTGGACTATCTAGACAGAGCCTGTGTGTCTAGGTCTTTTGCCCAAGCCAGGGGTGGGGAACCTGTGGCCTCAAGGCCACATATGGGCCTCTAGGTCCTCAAGAGGGGCCCTTTGACTGACTCCAAACCTCACAGAACAAATCCCCTTAATAAAAAAATTTGTTCTGTAAAACTTGGATTCAGTCAAAAGGCCGCACCCAAGGGCCTAGAGGGCCACCTGTGGCCTTGAGGCCATAGGTTCCCCATCCCTGGCCTGAGCTCTTCTAACATTAGCTCTTTTAAAAGATCCAAGAGTTTTCTTTTTCATTTGAAATGGGGTTGGTCTTTTCCATCTTCCTTCTCATAACTCACTCCTTTAAGAGTCCTGAAGAAGGCTGATACTCTGACTCTCAAAAGCAAGTGCCTTGAAGAGTCCCAAAGGGTAGACTGGTAAAGGCTGTAATGCTCTTGCCTCTCAACAACTTGCCCCCGAACCTCACGAAGGGCAGGGCAGCCATCTCCACCAGTAAGGAGAGAGTACTTTACCAGTGAGACTTAGGGAGGGGGAGAGAATGGGAAGGGGTGGGGGGGGTGTAAGATAGAAAAAGGTAGGCCAAAAAAAGAAAGAAAAAAAAGGAGGATCATTGAAACCTTTTTTCCCTAAATACACAGGAAAAACAGTCCAGAAAAAATTACAAACTTTTCCATTTTTTGCCACCAAAGAAGCTGCTATAAATATTTTTGCACTTGTGAATCCTTTTTGTTTCTTTTATTTCCTTGTGATATGGCCTTAGTAATACTATAGCTGGGTCAAAGGGTATACACAGTTTAATAGCCTTTTGGGCAAAGTTCCAAAGTGTTTCCAGAATGATTGGATTAGTTCACAGCTCTACCAACAGTGCATTAGTGTATTTTTTCACATCCCCTTCAGCATTTATCATTTTTGTCTTCTTAGTCAATCTGATAGGTATGAGGTAGTACCTCAGGGCTGTTTTATTTTTAATTTCTTTAGTTTTAGTGATTTAGAGCACTTTTTCATATGGCTGTTGATAGCTTTGATTTTTTCCTCTGAAAATTGCATATTCATGAATATCCTTTGTCCATTTATCAATCAGAGAATGGTTCTTAGTCTTATAAATTTGGCTCAGTTCTCTATTTGAGAGAGGTCTTGTTTCTCAGAGAAGCTTGCTGCAAAAATTCCCCGCCCCCCAATTTTCAGTTACTCTTTTAATTTGAGCTGTTCTGCTGGTAGAAATATAAAACCTTTTTAATTATACATAATGAAAATTATCCATTTTATCCTGTAAACCAATATTAGATCCTAACCCCAAAAACATTGAAGAAAGGAAAAGAATCCATTTGTTCAAAATATTTGTAACAGTTCTGTTTGCAGTGACAAAGAATTGAAAACTGAAGTGCTCATTAACTAGGTAATGATCAAACAAGTTCTTGTATGTCAATGTGACGGAATTCTATTGTGCTGTAACAAATGATGTAAGGGATGGTTTCAGAGAAATCTTAGATTTGTATGAACAGATGCTGGCAAACAGAACCAGGAAAACAAGTTATATATACTACAACCGTATTTGTAAGGACAAACAACTTTGAAAGGCTTTAGGACTCTGATTAATGCAATGAAGAACCAGATCCCAAAGGACTCATGATGAAAAACACCCTGACAGGTAGTGTACTCAGCATGCAGATTTAGATATACTTCTTTTGGACATTGCCAATGGAGGGATGTTTTGCTCCATGATACATAATTGTAACAGGGATTTTGTTTTGCTTTTATTTTCTTTCTCAATGGAGGAAAGTGAGGAGGGAGAGAAGGCGTATTTTCGTTGATTGAAAAAAAATTTTTAGAACGGCCTCTTAATATCCTTTCAATTCTTTTTATTTTTTATGCAATGACTGTCCTTTGCCTATACCTCAACTGCTTCTCAGAAGCCTGGAAAAATGTTCACGCATAAGATTATTGCTTCAGCTGACTTAAAACTGACCCATACAATAGTACACATCAAACCTTAGTGCAGCCTTTTAAAAACAGACAGATTAAAAATGGATAAAATTCTAATTTAATTAATTCTAATTTAATTAAGTTCTAAATCTATAGTCCCTTCCCAAGATGCTACTGTTCCCGAGGCGACGGCTAGCTCTGCGGCGCGTGGCGTAGCCTTTAAGTCACTTCCGCCCCTGCTCGTCATTTCCGCCCTCTTCCTTCTCCGCTTCCCTCCCACCCCCGCGCTGAGAGGAGAAGCAATGCGCACGCGCTGCGCCGCCGCTGGGCCTGCCGGTTAGACATGGATGCTCACGATCTGTTCCGTCGCCTCGGCGTCGGAGCTAAGTTCGATCTGAGGCGCTTTCCGGCGGACGCGGCCCGATTCCAGGTGAGGGCGGGGGAGAGAGCGAGGACGGGCTGGAACCCCGCTGGACACGTGCGTCCACTTGGTCAGTGGACCTCGGGGGATGGTCGGGGACACGTTCGGCCTCGGCGGCTCGTGGAGCCCTGAACTCGCCGGGCACGGCGCTATCTCTGTACTATTGGTTTTCTCATTAATGACGTAATGCCCTATGTCACCGTTCTGCCTTGATCTAAGCAACATCTGGAGTTTTGTGTCCGAGCTTAGTCCTCTAGGCTTTTAGACGGAAGCAGATTTAGTGTCCACAGAAGGGCGGCCAACACACCAAGAGGTCTGAACACGTGTTTTAGAAAGAAGGAGCTGTTCAGAGCAGGGCTGACAGTGGCACGGGCTGTCTCCTAGACGAAGGAATGAGTTCCTTGTCACTGAAGTGCCCTCGAGCGGATTCCCGTATTGAAAAGGCAATTTGGATTTGGAGGGTCTCGGAAGTCCCTTCAGCACAAGCTTCCATGACCTCCTTTGAGTTGTCGTTGAACCCTTCCCTTTTTGTTTAACTCTATGCGTCTGTGTCTTGACACTCCAGCAAACTACTTAAGAGCAGGAGCTCTGACTTTTTTGTATCCTCCGGTGGGCCTGGCAATAGTGCTTTACGCTAGAAAGCAATGCCTGTTGAATGAATCGGTTCCTGAAAGAGATTTACGATCTAATTTAGGGAGGGAAAAAAGGGAACACACACATAAAAAGATAAGTAAAGTGCAAGGTAATATGCTAGATGCCAAATGCATAGTATGAATGAGTAAGGGAGTGAATGAAAAAACACATTATGTGCAAAACTCTGGGCCCCAGTACTGGGAATGTGGATACAAAGAAAAACAGCCTCAGCCCTCAAGGAGCTTATGTGGTTGTGGATTGATAGAAGTATTTTGGTTTAGAAAGTTACAGGGATGTCAAATGGAGCCATAAGGGAATGGATTGACACAACCTTTTTCAGGAACAATGACAAAGTTGTTTTGTTTATAGTTCATGAAAACTGGAAAAGTGAGCCATTGAAAGTTTTTGAGTAGGGACTATGAATTAAACCCTTGCTTCCACCCACTCTGAAAACAAAAATAAGGTTTGATTCTTATATTCAGTTCAATATCTATTCCCCTTCTGCCTATAGTAGGCACACAAATACTTGGTGTTGATACTGGGCACAAGTCTTCCTACTGCCAGTTCTGATTGGGAGGAAAACAGTCAATAAATCAATTTCATTTCAAATCATTTGGTTTTCAGCTAGGAAAGAGGAAATTTGACTTTGATTCCTCAGAAGTGGTAGAGGAACTGAACTTCTTTGGAAGCAAGAAATCTACCCCAGCTGAAAATGGAACCTCATTGGATAATACCCTATCCAAGGGAGAGGAGAGACTACAGGAAAAAGCTGGTGGTGAGGAGGATAACAGTATTGAAAGGAAGCGAAAACGAAACACGATGAAGAAAAAACAAGCTTCTGGTTAGTAGTTTTCTATTGCAGTAAAACTTAACCTGGGATCCACAAATCCCCGGAGGGAATTGCAGATAGGCTTCAGGGAGTCCATGAACTTGAGTGGGAAAAAAGTTACATCTTTATCTTATAATTAATTAATATCTAACTGAAATTTACCTTTTTCTTAACTGATTTTAAAACATAATTCTGAGAAGGAGCCCATAGGTTTTACCAGACTGGTCCAAGGGGCCCAGGAAACACAGAAAGTGAAGAATCTCTAAATCAAAAGGAATATCTATTACATTTATAAACTAAAGAGGACAGTGTTGTTCCTTCAAAGGATGTAGACATGCAAGTTTAATACCTGGGAAAGATGAATGGTATACCAAAGATCTATTTTTTTCTTTTGAACCTTAGAAACTATTTCAGTCAGTTCCAACAAGGAAGAAGAAACTATACTGTGGATGTCCTCACTGGAAGCCAAGATTAAAGATAAAAAAGGAAAAAGAGAAAATAAACCAACTGCAGAGAAATTGGAACAGCTCCGAAAGCTGAAGGTTGGGCTGATTTCTTAAACCAAAAACATGAGGATCTTTCCTTGATGTCATGTTGTTGTTGTTCTTGTTATTTCCTCCCATTTGACTTGGTTGGATCATTTTGGGGGGTCTTGAATTTCTTTTGAGGGAGAGTTGAATCTAGACTCTTAAAGTGTAAGAATTAAAGGTTTAGTATTTGAAGGCACCATAGACCTCATCTAGCCATGGGATCATGGGAGCTAGCCCTGAAAGGGACCCCAGAGGCCGTCTAATCCAGTCTCCTCACTTTTTCAGATGAGGAAACTGAGGCCCGGTGATGTTCAGTGTTTTGGCCAGGGTCACACTGGTAGTAATCATCAGAGTTGGGATTTGAAACCAAGTCCCCTAACATTGTGCCGTGAAGGTGTTATTTTATGGATGAAGAAACTGAGGCCCAAAGTGGTGAAGACACTTTCTCAAAGTCACATAAGTAATATTGGCAGAGCCAAGATTCATATCCAGGTCCTTTTGACTATAAATACCAGGTCCTTATCATGTAGCCTTTACTAGCTTATTGCTTTCAAATTGCTAATAGACTCGTCTTCTAATAAATTTAGAACCCGTCACTGCCCGTTCCTAGAAAAAACCTACATACACTGCACACATGCCATCAGTTGCCAAATCTTGTTTTTACCTCCACAAAGTCTCTTGCATTTACTTGTTCCCTTTTGTCCACTCACATAGCTACCACCTTATTTCACCCCAATCATCTCTTGCCTGGACTATTGCAATAACTTTCTAATTGGCCTCCTCTCTCTTCTCTTCCCACTAAAGTCAGTGCTATATATGGCTTCCAAAATACCTTTTCCCAAATCTCAGATCTGACCATGTCAATCCTGTACTCAATAAATTCTAGTAGCTTCTTTCTATTGCCTCTAGGATCAAATATAAACTCCTGTTAGGTATTTAAGGCCCTTTAGAACCTGGCCTACAATCTGCCTTTCTAGCCTTATTTTATAATACTGTCCTTTCCTGACCTCCATGATCTTACTGCTGTTCTTTCTCCCCTCTCTGTGCCTTTGCACTGGCTGTACCCCATACCTAGAATGCCTTCCCTCCACATCTCTGTCTTTTAGAATCCTTTGTTTCCTTTAAAATTAGTCTCAAATACATTCTCCATGGAGCCTGTCCTCATTTTTCCAGCTGCTTGCAACCTCTCCTTCAAAGAAATTACCTTGTCTTTATTTTATATAAATTTTTCTATGTCTGTATGTGTACAATAAGCCATAAGCTCCTTAAGGCAAGGACTATCATTTTTTTTTCTATTGTGCACAGTGCCTGGCATATAGTAGGCACTTAATGCTTATTGGTTGACTCTGTGCTGTTTTAGGGTGCCATCCTACAGCTAATAACCTCTCTTCCACCACCACCCCCCTACAACCCCCACACACACCCCCAGACACTCTGCTCTGACCTGGGCATCATATAACAGCGTGGCACACCTTTCTGTTTTCCCTCCCTGACTCCCCTCCCCCTTCCTGTGTAACCATAACAACTGAGTATCAGTGTAACCTCATTGTGCCCCTGAGCACTTCCACATAAAGTCACGTACCTACCTTTACCTTTCATTCTGCAGCCTCGTTTACCTCAGCTTCTCTTTATATATGGAGCATAAGTTGGGCATAAAGTCAGGAAGAGTTGGGTCTGAATCCCACATCAGACACTTGCTGTGTAATCCTGGGTTAGTCATTTTACTTCTGAGGCATTTCATTAAGACTCACTTTCTTCATCTGTAAAATGAGGGGAGGGAGTTGGATTCAATGACTTCCGAAGTCTCTTTCATCACTAAAATCTGTGGTCCTATAATGAAGTTAACCAGAGAGTTAAATTCCTTCCTACCTGGATGATTCAGTGTATTCAGAAAGGCTACTTTTGGCAGCATTAGATGAAGTTAGGGAACTTGTTATTTCAGCTATTCCTCCATTTTTAAATAGGGGAAGGGATAAAAAGAGGAAGAGGAAAGGAGGAAGAGAGAAATCACAAATAAAAGAAGAAAATAAAGAAAATTGCCATTCTTGTATAGCTGAGTTTGTTGGACAACTGCTTTGCTGCCTGTGGTTTCCAGCTCTGTCAGGACAGTTTTGAAATGAGAGAAGTAGAGAATCTGGTTTGTTTCTAGGAGTGACCTACAGGTTGTCAAGGGGTGGGATGTACCAAGACCCCATGCCTCATTGGCCCAGAAAGCAGAGTTTGCCTTATCCTGAACTAGGAGATAGAACATAAGCTGAATTAGAAGTGCCAAACTCAAGGGACAGCTAGGTGGTGAAGTGGATAGAGCGCCAGCCCTGAAGTCAGGAGGACCTGAGTTCAAATTCGGCCCAGACCAAACACTTGACACTTACTAGCTGTGTGACCCTGGGCAAGTCACTTAACCCCAATTGCCTAAAAAAAAAAAAAAAAAAAGAAGTGCCAAACTTCTTAGTGGTTCTTTGACTTGGTTTTGACAGGGTAGAGGACTTATATATTGAAGCTGTCGTTGTGCTTAGTGTAGCACAGAGAACCAGAGATCATTTAAACCCATCATTTCCTCAAATTCATTCTATATCTCTTCCTAGCAAAACTCGTAGAAAAAGCTCTTCACATTCATTTCCTCTACTTTTTCACCTCCCACTCATTTGTCAACCCCTTTCTATCTGACTTTCATCCTTGCTGCTCTCTGAAATCTCACCAGTTATATCTTTACTATTAAATCCAGTGGCCTTTTCTTGTTTCCCCATCCTAGACCTCTCTGTAGGATATGACACTGTTGACCACTCACTCCTTCTGGACACTTTCCCTTCCCTGGATTTTTGTGATTTCTTTCTATCTATTAGTCTTTTTTGCAAGTTCCTCCTCCACATATGGATGCAGCCAGAGCTATGCCTTGGGCCTTCTCTTCTTTTTGATCTATTCTCTTGAAGTGATTTTATCAGACCTCATGAATTCAATTATAATTTCTGTGCATACTGCTCCCAAATATACATATCTAATCATCTTCTCCTGAGCTCCAATCCCACACATCCAGCTGTCTGCTTTACATCTCCATCTCAGTGTCTCACAGTCATCTCAATCTCAACATGTCCAAAAGACAACTCATTGTCTTTCTCCTTATACCCATCCGTCCTCCTAATTTCCCTATTTCTGTCAAGAGTACTACCATTCTTCCAGCCACTCAGGTTCAAAATCTAGGAGTTATCCTCAGCTTTTCACTACCATCCTTTCCCCATAGCCAGTCAGTCACCAACTAATGTCTGTCTACTTCTTCAGCATTTGTAATATATATAACTCTTCACATCACAACCAGAGTGATTCAAGCCCTCATCATCTCTCACCTGAACTTTTGACAGTAGTTTTCTAATTGGTCTTCCATGTCCTGGTATCTCCCCTTAAAAATGCACCCACCGAATTGTTATTCCTAAATCATAGGTGTGACAGCCCCACTCTTCTCAAAAAACTCCAGTGGTTTCCCATTGTTTCTAGGATAAAACATAAAAATCATCTATTTGACATTTAAATCGCTTCATAATCTAGCTCTACCCTGTCTATTCTGGCTGGTTATACATTACTCCACACCCTGTGCTCCATATAAAGCTACTTATTTGCTGTTTCCCATGCATGACGTTCTGTCATCCACCTCGGTGCCATTCCATTCTGCCCCCCATGCCTGTAATGCACCTTTCCTCTGCCTTGGAACCCCTAGCTCCTCTCCAGCCTCAGCTCAAATGCCATACTCCTCAAGAGGTGTCACTTCTCCACCAGATCATAGTGTATTGATCCTTCAACAAGTTATCTGTGAGCATGTTATATTCCGCTGGTAGAATATAAGCTTTTTGAGGGATGGGACTGTCAGTTTGGTATTTGTATCACCACCCAGTGTCAGTCAAAGCAGCTGGTATATAGTTAGCACTTACTAAAGGTTTATTGATTAATTGATTGGTACTCTACTTTTCCTCTAAGAGTTCACATTTTGAGATGGTAAAGTAGGAGATAAAAGGTTAAATATAAGGAAGACATGGACAAGTGCTGGCCACTCTCTGGTGTTCTTTGGCTTCTGAGAGGGGCTCAAGATGCATCTCCCTGCTTTCCTTATAGGGCTTAACAAATATATGCTATAGCACCCCAGATCTTCTCACTTTTAATGTGCTCTGAAGTTCAGTACTAGCAATTCAATCATAATGTGTATCACTCCAGGTGTTTTACTCCTAAAAATATCTTTGGCTGATTTCACAGAGACCATTTGGCTTCATTTTCCAGATAAACCGTTTCCGAAATAAACACAAAATTCACATCCAAGGAACCGATCTTCCAGAACCCATTGCTTCATTTCAGCAACTTGACCAGGAATATAAGATCCACTCTCGACTACTCCAGAACATCTTAGATGCAGGTTTCCAGAGCCCCACTCCAATCCAAATGCAAGCAATTCCCATCATGCTTCATGTGAGTCTACTTGTCTAGGCTTAATGACTGTACCACTCAGGCTAAGTGGAACTATGCTCAGAATTGGGGATCTTAAACTTTTTATTTCTTGTTCTTGAAATCTCTAGTTGTACCAGCTACATTTTTTTTGCTTGTCTTACTTTGGGTCTCATCATTATGTCCATTCTCTCAGAAAACATTCCAGAAGTATGGGTTCATCATAAAGTTTTCATATAGTTTCTGAACTCTTGATTGTTTAGTTATTAAAAGCTGAAGCTTTCTGTAGTGTAAATTTTTAGTAATGAATAGCTAACAACAACAACAAAAGCTCATTTTGTGCTCATGGCTGCTGTGGATTTAGCTATAGGACATGTTTTCCCTTCAGGTCCACAGTAACTATTTTTGCTTTCATGGAATGAGATGACTAGATAACCTCAGTGAGTATTGGGTTTGGAACCAGAAAGACCTCAGTTTAAATCTTGCCTTGGACACTTCCTAGCTCTGAGACCCTGGGCGAGTTACTTTACCTCAGATGCCTTTGTTTCCTCATCCTATAAAATGGGGAGAATGACAGGACCTGCCTGCCCTCGATGTTGTGAGGATCAGATGAGTAAAGTGGTTTGCAAGAGATTGCTAGAGATTATTGTTATGTATAATTATGTCGTGTAGTTGTCTTGACACATGTGTTTTTAAAATGCTACTTAAAGATCGCTTCTATTCTATTTACAGCTCACGTCATAAAAAGTATTAAACTTTACAAGGACTTTATGAAAACCGTGTGTATATATTTCTGAATTAATCAGACTTGGGAACCAGACCCTTTTTTCTTTTCCTTTTGCCTCCTAATTTTTGCTTATCCCCTTGTATATTCAATTCTCTACCAGGTGGTGAGTAAAGAAAGAAATAATTAGTCATTTCTACTACTTTGCTATAGTAAAAGGTTTGGCATAGAAAGTTTAATTAAAGAACAAATTGAGATGTGTAGATTATATTTATTTCAATTATCTCTACTCTCATTCGGTCCCATTAGCAAAAGTTGGTTTTAACAGTGATGTTTTGCTAGAAACTTTCTATTCATTTGTTACTTAACCAAATATAAATTATGCTAGGTGCTATACACTTTGTGTTTTGAGGAAACAGAAATGACCTTAAGCTGAAAAGCAAAAGTACAAATTTTCGTAACAATCTAGTGGTGCCAAGATGAAGCAAATAGTATGAGAGGATGTGAGGTTGGAGGAAAGATATTGAGTTTCAGTATAAAACATTTAAAAAACTTGAGTGATTAGAAGTGTTACCTGCAGTTTTGGTCTTATTTCTGTGGTGATTGTTGACAATGTTTGACCAGAATTTGAAAGTCAGCTTCTACTCAATTCAGCAGACATTTATTGAATGCCTACTTACAAAGGAACTTTGATAGTCAATGAGGGGAATTCAGAGATGGATAAGATGTGGCCCTGAACTCAAGGAGCTTCAATTTAGCATATATACACAGATAATTATACCACAGAATGAGTGTACACATGCAGAGAGAGGTACCAAGCAGCCAGAGGTACAGAGGCAGCTAGGTGGCACAGTGGATAGAATGTACAGAAGACCTAACTTTAAATCCCACCTCCAGCACTTACTAGCTGTGTGACCCTGGGCAAGTCACCCACCTCTGTTTGCCTCAGTTTCCACAACTGTAAAATGGAGGTAATGCTATAACATATCTCCCAAGGTTGTTGTGATAATCATAATTAGATAATATTTGTAAAGCTCTTAGGATAGTGCCAGGCACATAGTAGGTTCTAGATACATGCTAGCTCCTTTTATCATTACTACTGCTACCACCAGCATCATCACCACCATCATTACCACCACCAATGAAGTTCTGTGAGCTCAGAGTGAAGAAAGGGGTCTCTTCAGACTAGGGAAGATGACATCGAAGTGGCATTTGAACTTGTCCTTAAAGATAAAAAATTTAGCAAATCTTTTTCTGGCTTTCATAGTACTCAGTGTATTCTTGTCTTTAGGGTCGTGAACTGCTGGCTTCGGCTCCTACTGGATCTGGAAAGACCCTGGCTTTTAGCATTCCTATTTTAATGCAGTTGAAACAACCTACAAATAAAGGTTTCAGAGCACTGATCATCTCACCCACTCGAGAACTTGCCGGTCAGGTAAGACTTTCTTCTTGGAGGACCACATCTTTGGCCACTGTTTTTGTGGTCTTCCTTTGGAGAAATAGAAAACTTATTAGGGCAGAGTGTTTGATTATCCATCATATAATGTCATCTCATCTAACTTCCTCATTCTACAGAGAAGGAAACTAAAACCCAGAAAGGGGTAGGGACTTACTCAAAGGCACACAAGCTAGTTATAGAGTTTGCTCCATAGTTCCTGCAAAGCTTAATGTTCTCTGTGCTTTTAATGGCCTCCTGTTCTATATGAGTAACTCACAATGCGTGTAAACAAGTTTTTACTCTCTCTGTAATTATTCCTAAAAGATAAAATTTTTTGCTAAATTATTTATGAAATGCTTTTAAGATTCTCTGAGATAAAGGGCTATCCTAAGGTTTAAAAAACCTTTAAATTTCCACCCAAAAGTGAAACTTTTGCTTCATTTTGAAAAAGCAGGATTGTATAGGAACCCCATCTATTTTTGAACTGTAAGTGAAGCATCTGGTGAAATTGCTGTAGTCTAGAAATTGCACAGCACCACGTAGATGTTTGCAGAGTATTAGTTTTGTACTGTGTCTTTAATTCCTTGGAGCTAGCTTTCTGTTCTGGAAGAAATGGCCTGTCCTTCCTTAATGGACTTTGGAATTCCCAAATGCTAAAATTCCTGGCTAGCCTATAGATTTAATTAGGGGTTTAGTCCAAGGAGTTCACAAGAATATATTGATGGAACTTTATTGATGAAGCAAATAATTGTCTATTTTAATGCCTCGTTGCTGCCTTTGTGTATTTCAGACTCATCGAGAGTTAGTAAGAATTTCTGAGGGCACAGGATTCAGAATACATATGATACACAAGGCAGCCATGGCAGCCAAGAAGTTTGGGCCTAAATCGTCTAAGAAATTTGGTAAGAGATTCATTTGAGGATGTCAATAGACAAGGGATTTTCAGTAATTGCTTTTAAGATATTATCGTGTTGGACAACAGTGAGGTCCTACATACACAGTTGAGTTGTGTCTACAGAAGAAGCCTAGAGGGGGCAGCTAGGTGGCACAGTGGATAGAGTACCAGCCCTGAAGTCAGGAAGACCTGAGTTCAAATCTGGCCTCTGACCAAACACTTGACACTTACTAGCTGTGTGACCATGGGCAAGTCACTTAACCCCAATTGCCTAAAAATAAAAAACACGAAACAAACCAAAAAAAAAGAAGAAGAAGCCGCCTAGAAAACAGCACTGGACTAGGAATCAAAGACCTGGATTATGGTCTCAGCCACATCTGTCCTTTCCACTTAGGGTGTTCTTGCTGTAGGATCTAAGGAATTGTGATAATGCACGTGTGCTAAAATTGAGTTAGCCTGGGCAGAGGTCCACTAGGGAACAGGAACTTGGTAGCTGTTGTCTCATTAATTTCATCATTTGTTTGTTTGTTTGTTTTTTCTCAAGATCCTCATGAAAATTCAAGGAGGTTAAATTTCTTAGTCTGAGGAGGCTGAATTCTATTTGTTCTATTTGCTTTTCCTGTAGATATTCTTGTGACTACTCCAAATCGACTAATTTATTTGTTAAAACAAGATCCTCCAGGAATAGATCTAAAAAAGTATGTATACAGAGTGTGTTAATGAGTCCTTTTTGGTGTTTTATATGTTTCCTTCAAATGGTTATTTTTCATCCTCAGTTATTCCTCCTGCCATAAGAAATTTTCTCTGTTCCCTTTCAGTCAGTACTGGTGTTATTTTTATCATTTAAATTGTATTGTTATTATTGTATCATTATTATTATTATTGTTATTATTATTAAGGAGTGACTTCTTCTCTCAGCTCACTAACTAATAAGTCTGTTTTATCATCTCATAGTGTGGAATGGTTGGTGGTAGATGAATCTGACAAATTGTTTGAAGATGGAAAGACTGGTTTCAGAGACCAGCTGGCTTTCATTTTCCTAGCATGCACATCTCACAAAGTCAGGAGAGCTATGTTCAGTGCAACTTTTGCACATGATGTGGAACAGTGGTGTAAACTGAACCTGGACAGTGTTGTTTCTGTTTCCATTGGAGCAAGGTAATTCTGCTACTGCCACATTTTCTGTTTTTAATAAATGAATCCATTTTTGGCACATCAGAGAGATGTTTCTTGGCCTAAAGTGAATTAAGAGTTCTACACCTGCAGACAGATAGATATATAGATAGATAAATATTCATTTTTTAAAATATTAGTTGGTTTTTTATATTGTATTCTATTCATCTCTTTGTTTCAGTTCTGTGGCCCCCATCGCAGCAGGCTGTGAAAATGTGGTTCATTATTGCCAATTTAGTTTCTTGATGGCTAACCTAAGAATAGAAGGGCCACATTATGAGAAACTCATTTGTCAGTGATCTGCTTGTCTCTGTTTTCCCCTTTTAAGTTTCATTTGGATTGATTTTATACTGTGTCTCATTAGTGATATGTTACATGAATGGGCAGGGGGCAGATGCGTAGCCATTAGAAACTACTTTGAATCAAACAGTTATTTAGTAAAATTCTGAGCTCTTTCAGACCATGATATCTTCTCTGAGAGATGATTTCTTTTTTTAGGAATTCTGCGGCAGAGACTGTGGAACAAGAACTCCTATTTGTTGGATCTGAGACAGGCAAACTTCTGGCCATGAGAGACCTTATTAAGAAGGTATTCTGGAGCCTCTTAATGAACCTGGGTCAGAGTAACCATGCCATGGACCCTAGGGAGAAAAGCATAAGCGTTTTTTAGTCATTACCTATTACATAATCCAGGGTTGCGTTGGCAGAAGCCCTTTGGGCCTAACTTGGCTGCCAGGGAGAGCTTACTAGTTCAGAAGGTGATGGTAACAAAAGTAATGACTTTGTGTGTTTATATAACTTTGCATTTTGAAGTCACTTTGGCATGCATTATCTCATTTTGTCTTCCCAGCTACTCTGTAAGGTTTGTAATGTATACAATTGTCATTTCATTGAAGAGGAAGGTGGGGGCAGCTAGGTACTGTGGATAGAGCACTGGCCCTGGAGTCAGGAGGACTTGAATTCAAATATGGGCCTCAGATACATAATACTTCCTAGCTGTGAGACTCTGGGCAAGTCAACCCCAATTGCCTCACCAAAAAAAAAAAAAAGAGGAAAGTGAAGCTCAGAGTAGTTGCAGATGTGTCTAGAGTTTTGGGTGCTAATAAACATCACAGTCAAGCCTGGAGTCCAGGGCTCCTGGCTAACTCTTAGTCTGGTGCTTCATGATCAGTTTTCCTTCACCTGAGCAAATCTTTCCATTTCCATTCAACAAGATAATATGTTAATTGTAACTTAGGCCCAATTGGGAAAAGGAGAGAGTGGACAGCAAGACAGAGCAAAATAGAATTATGATGGTTACAAACACACAATAAAGACATAAGGGTGCTAATCAAAATTTGCAGTGGTTTTTTCAGTGCCATCTAAAATGAGGGCAAACACTGTCATGCCCCAAACAAAAGAATCATAGAGTCACAGATTTATAGCTGAAAGAGACCTTAGAGGTCATCTAGTCCAGCCTTCTTAAACTGTTCATTCAACAGGTAATGATTACTGCATATTTAGCACTGAAGGGGATGCAAAGAAAAGATAAAATAGCCCCTGCTTTCCAAGATCTTAGCATTTAGCTGAGGACAAGATGTACATTCAGCAGTTAAGTAACTAGTGCAGAACAATGTCTAGGTACATGCCCAAAAGAATGATACAGACAGGAAGTGCTATGGAGCTCAAAAGGAAGTCATTGTGGATTCCAATGATTGATGAAACTTGTTGGAGTTCCCTGGTTCTTGAAAGGATGGACTGAAGAGAGGAGAAAGCTTTCCCATTTGGAAACTGCCTAAGTAAGGAGGGAAGGGAAGGGAATAAACATTTATTATGTGCCAGGCACCATGCCAAGCACTTTGAAAATAGTGTTTGTAAAGAGATGGTAATGAAAATGGTGTCCTCAGAAGATAATGTAGGGATTCATCTGGCAGAGCAGAGTATTTAGCACAGTGTAATGCACGTAGTTAATGCTTAACAAATACTTGTTTCATTCATTTAGTAGTAAGAGAGTAAGGCTGAAGAAGAAGGGTGGGACTCAGATTATGGGGAGTCTTGTGTGCCAAGGCTGAACTGATGTGAACTGAGTTAAAGACAGAATTTTATGTAAACAACAGATCATTAAAGGTTTTTGAGCAGGGGAATGATATGATGGAAGCCAGTTTTATAAAAGATGAGTTTGGCTGTTGTAAATAGGATAGATCAGGAAGGAAAGAGACAATTTAGAAGCTGTTGTATTTCAGGTATGTGGATTAGGGTTATGACACCAGGAGGGCCATTAGTTGGGTGAGAGACACATTCTCAGGAAAATTTAAAAGATATGATAACTGATTGGCCAAATGAAATGGAATGAATCAGATCAGATATTTGAGACACTTAATAGCTGAGTGACCCTGGGCAAGTCACTTAAACTTCTATTTGCCTCAGCTTCCTCATCTGCAGAAAGAGATGATACATAGCATCTACCTCCCATGGTTGTTATGAGAATCAACTGAGATAATAATTGTAAAGCACTTAGCATAGTGCCTGCCACATAGTAAGCACAATGTCAACATTAGCTATTATTATTATTACTAAGAAATAACAGGTCTTGGTAACTTAATGGATAGAGAGGGATGAATGAGAGGGAAAAGTCAAAGATGACTTCAATTTCAAATATATATATATTTAAAATATATATAACTAAGAGAATGGTTGGTTTCAGTGACAGACATTGGGAGGAGGGCTGATTTTGACAAGGGTAAGGCAATGAGTTCCGTTTGAAGCTTTAGTTAACTATTCAAATGGAGAGGTCCTATCATCAATTGAAGATATGGGTTTAGAGCTTGGGTGAGAATGAGAAGACAGGCCTAGAGATGCAAATCTGAGAATCAACAACATGGAAGGGATATTTGAAACTATGAGAGAAGATCAGTTCATTGGGGGAAAGCATGTGAAAACAGAGGAACATAGGGAATCTAGAATTAGACCATGCCCAATACCCCCAGGTAGGGCATTGGAGGAGGAGGAACCAGCCACTAAAAAGATAGGAAAACGGTGCTCAGAAAGGCAAGAGGAAAACCTAGGAAGTGCATTTTTACAGAACCCAGGGAAAATATTGTTTGAAGGAATGGATGGTCAACAGTGTCAAATGTGACTGAAAGTTCAAGGATGATAAATATTGAAGGTGAGTGTACTTTAACTATGTTTATTGAATTTATTTGAGGGACAGAAACCAATTTTATAAGCTTACAAGAAGCAGTGTAGTCTGCTAGATGGCATGCTAGACTTGGAGTCAGAAAGCATGGTTTTAAAGCTCACCTTAGACATTTATTAGCTCTGGAGTCACAGACAAGTAACAGAACAACAGATCAGTTTTCTTTCCTCTGTCATATAGATGATGATTGTACTCCCTACCAAAAATACAACCCTTGAGTATTTCAGTGATTGATCTCATCAGTATGAATATTCCTTCCCTCTCTGTACAGATTATAGCCTATCTACACCTCATCTTGTGTGATTTTTGCCCATTTTCTTACATAGATCTCCACAGTGAATCCAACCAAGTGCTGGAACCTGTCCTCTTGACCTTTGCATTTAGGAAGTACCAATAGAGCACTCAAGCTGTCCATCTTTTCTGCTTTGCTCTTGTTATGTGACCACATCTCCTTTATGTTTAAATACTTTTTCCTGGATTTCCTCCCTTAGACCTTTATATGCTATTCATTATAGCATCTTAACTTGAGGATAGGCCATCTTTGGAAACGTGCTGCACCATGCTTGCTCCCAGCATGTGTTGTCCTGTTGACCACAGGATCACTCACAATTGCATAATTTCCCAAATTAAATCCAGCCTACCCCCTAATGCCTGCTTATTTCCAGGCCATCTGTAACTGGCTGTTTGTAGCAACCGTACCAGCAATACCGAGAGGCAGCATATTATAGTGAATAGAGAGCTGGAATTAGGAAGACCTGACTTCAAATTCTGCCTCTACTAGCTTTATGACCTTGGGCAAGTCACTCACTTGAATGGTCATTTAAGCAGCCCTATGACATTCTGGACCTTAATGTAGTTACCATGATACCATCTGCAAAAAGGAGTCCAGAGAGACTTCACTATCCATAGGGAGCCCCTCTTCTGTTTGAGGCTTACAGTACATCCTTTCTGATAGTGGTGCACACATTTGGTGGGTGTCCATTTCCCTCTTTCATGCCTCATTTGGCAATAACCAAAGTACGGTTGAATAGTGTTTTCTCTGGGTTACATTTATCAAGGAATCTTGTATGATCTTAACATTTGAGTGAGTGACTATTGACAAAGAACCTTTTCACACTGTTTTGCTTCTAAGTCAAATGCTTATTAAAATATACACAATGGGATCCTATATTCTCTGAATCTTTAGTCAGTTGCATTACTATAATGATGTGGTCTGCTCTAGAGAATCATTTCAGAAAAATCTTCCTGTTCCCTTATCATATTTTCATCAAGGATATTCTTGGTATACATGTAAGCCATTCTTATAAAGACTGGAAAATAGAACATCAATCAGGAGTTTTAATCACCTTCTGAGAGGGAGATATTGATGTCATCTGATTTTTCCTTCTATTCTTTATATAGCTTTCCCTTCCCTAAAAAATGATTTCAAGATCATGTTCCCCTCAACACAATTTCCTCTGTTTTTGCTTGGTCTAGCCCAGGCTTCCCAGCTTTATCTTCTTTAGTGTCATTTCTACTTCTTATAGCACATTATGAACTGATTTTAGTGTCCAAATGTGGTCTCTTTTCACTGACAATACAACTTGATCTTTAAAGAAATACTGACAGATTTGTTCCATTTGTACTCATTTGTGTCCTTCTGCCAGTTTTGCCTGTAAGTGCTATCATTAAGATGTACCTCATTTGGGTCCTATATCAAGCTGCTTTAGACTTGTCTTCATTTCCCTTGCTTTCTATTTAATACAATAATTTTGCTTATAAGCTGCCATATTTCTCCACAATGTTTGATAAATGAGTTTATTTTATAAGCCAGTGTTGCCCTTGGCTGGCATCTTTCTCCACTTGCTTTAGAGATAAAATATTTGTCGTCCAAGGTGATTTCTGGCTCCCAGGGCCTTGTCCTTGTGGTGGTACAGATGTGGTACCATGTAAAGGTGAAAGGATGGTTTTTGTTTTTGTAAGCAGAGAATAGGAGGTAAAGAAATGGTGACCTAGTGGGCATAGTCCATTTGTTGGAAAAGTGTGGCAGTGAAAGGAGATTGGACAAATTAAATTATTAAAAGTGTGTGGAGTGGTAGTTTCACATTGTGAAACATTGACAAATTATACACTTGATTATGGGCAGCTACATGGGGTAGAGTGCTGGGCCTGGAGTCAGGAAGACTCATCTTCCCGAGTTCACATCTAGACTCAGACACTTACTAGCTATGTGACCCTGGGCAAGTCACTTAACCCTGTTTGCCTCAGTTTCCTCATCTGTAAAATGAGCTGGAGAAGGAAATAGTAAACCACTCCAGTATCTTAGCCACGAAAACTCCAAAATGGGGTCATGAAGAGTCATGACTGAAAAATGACTGAACATACTTGGTAATGGAGAGTATATTTTTGTAAAGAAATGTAAAACCAGGGCAGCTAGATGGCACAGTAGAGAGAGCACCAGCTCTGGAGTCAGGAAGACATGAGTTCAAATGTAACCTCAGACACTTACCAGCTGAGTGACCCTAGACAAGTCACTTAATCCTAATTGCTTCCACCCCCCACCCCCCAAAAAATTTAAAACCTATTAGAATTATTGTTGTATATGCCGATTTTCCTTTTTCTCTTTCAGGGTTTCCACCCACCTGTCCTTGTTTTTGTTCAGTCCATTGAAAGAGCTAAAGAACTTTTCCATGAACTCATTTATGAAGATATTAATGTGGATGTAATTCATGCAGAGAGAACTCAACAGCAGGTGAGAGTAATATATTCTATAGAAACTCTCTGAAATTTATCTTTACTGGATTTTTTTAAATGGATGCTTTTTATATCAAATTAATATGGTACATTCTTTTCCATTCCTTAAGTGGAATTTGGAGGTTAGCTGACAACTAATATTTAATCTGTTTCCTATTAACCAGAGAGATAACACAGTCCATAGTTTCAGAGCAGGAAAAATCTGGGTCCTCATCTGCACAGCCTTGCTAGCAAGAGGAATTGATTTTAAAGGTGTGAACTTAGTAATCAACTATGACTTTCCAACCAGTTCAGTGGAATATATCCACAGGATAGGTGAGTGTTGCTTCCTTTCTTATTTCAACAAAAAGGAAATTATGACACTTCTGTATCTGGGGTAGAGCAAGGCCTGGTCCATAATCTTTTGGTTGTGACTTTTTAGGTCGAACTGGAAGAGCAGGACATAAAGGAAAGGCTGTTACATTCTTCACTGAAGACGATAAGCCATTATTACGGAGGTAAACTGTGAAATATGACTCAACATTTTTTTTGGTTGGAAAATATGTCTAATGGGAACATTTTTATGTTTCCTCTGTCAAATTTTTATTCAACATTTTATTTTGTTATCAAAGACATTTATCTAAGTCCCAGATTCTGTTCACCTACCACAGAATGATCTACCAGATTTTACTCAAAGAATAGGAAAATTCAGCAGAACATCTCCCCAGGGAGATATTCACTTCAGGATGGACAGTTCAGTGCTTCTACTCCTGTTCTTTAGGACTCTCTGGGAGCACTGCAGCTGATCTATTATAATTCCAAACTGTACATAATCATCATTAGAATTACATTTGGCAGCCTTTTCAGCCTTGATTACAGGCTGCTGTAGATCTCCTTACAATAGCATCCTTTTTAGGTGGCAGGTATGTTTAATTAGAAGACCTCTTTTTCCTTTAGAAAAGAACTTTTTGTCATGTAATCCTGGAATCTGAGAACTGGAAATGACTTTAGAATTCACCCAGTCCAACTCCTTCACTGTATAAGTATTTGTCCCCACACAGCTCAGAGGTTTCCATTTGCCCAAGGTCACAAAATATCTAATTAAAGCAGAGCTGGAACCAAAATCTTTTTCTCTTGACTTTCAGTCCTGTGGTTTTGTTAGCACAGCAGGACTAATACTGGATAGCCATAAAAGAAAAACAAAAAAGATGGGTCATCCTTTTCTTGAAGGTGAAAAGCAGAGGAAAGAGAGGCCTAGATAAAAGAAAGAAAAGGGGTAGAAGGGGGAAGGACAACTTTTGCACAAAGCTTAAAGGTATTTATATGCACCTTTTCTCACAAAAGTCCTATGGAACTGCTAATGCAGGTATCCCCAAACTTTAATCTTAGTTCCCAGATCTGTCCATAGAAAAAGACTGGTTCATTGATACTTTGTTGCCTTCAGGAAATTATGTATTACTAGACAGACAAAGTACAGTAGTTCATAGTCCATTAAAAGCCAAGGATTTATATTCTTAATTTTGCTTTAACTGCATTGTAGTCCGTTAGCGATTTCCTGATAGGACCATATTCATAGTAAATTTGGGGGTCATCTCTTTAAATCAGAAGCCCAATCACAGGAGGTACCTGATAACACCATCAGTAGCTTGGATTTCAAGAAAAGCTAACTTCAGTTTTCCAGTGGGGAGCTGTTGGACAAAATTCTTTGCTCTTCCTTAGGATCAGAATTAGCTTAGCAACAAAGAATCGATTTATCTTGCAGGAGTTTTCACAAGCATTATTTGCTCTAAAAATTTTGCTCAGATCAATCTATGTCTAATCACACAATTAAGCCAGTAATATTAAATAGGACACTAAACCCAGTTCATTTTAACATCTTTGCAAGCTTATTTATAGGAATGAATGCTCTTTCACACAATCACCAAATTCTGGGTTCTGTTAAAAACAGTGCAATCTTTGTACAATGTATGGCCAAGAATAAGCTGTGCTTTGTTTCAGCTGTTAAGATATTTGGCATGTTGGCCTATTTTGTGCTGAGAACAGGTTTTTATTTTTAGGATTAACAAGAAAAATAAAATTGTCAGTTATTTGGTAGACAATAAGCCTACCTAGGTAGGTTACATCATCATCTCTATTTATAATAAAGCAACACAATATTATTTGTAGCAATTACTTTGGTGAAGCCTTTACATATAGGAAACATTTTCAGAATCCAGGCTCTTAGACTCTATTTTATTCCCTCAGTATAATTAAAGGCAGCCTGGCATAGAAAGATGGCCTAGAAGCTAGGACAGACAACCTGCATTCAAATTCCACCTCTCACTAATGCTAATTTTGTTACTCTGGGTAAGTCACCTAATCTCCCAATGCCCCAGGCAAGTCTAATACTATAAATTGGTAGAGGGAGTTTCTTTACATTAGGGGTTCTCTATACGAAGGAAATCACAAGTCCAGACCCTGTTCCTTATGAGTATCTTACAGTAATGTTTAGTCTGGAAGCTTTGTTTTACATCTCCTCTTACATCTTACATCTATATTAACACAAACCTTTCTCTATGGTTAGAGTACATTCTCTTCTGTACTTATCTATATGCCCATTATGATACATTCTCACTCCCGCCACCCTTCACTGCCCCAAATAGAATTCGGGATCTTTGAAATTAAGAAATAATATTGTTCTTGTCTTTGTAACACCAGCTTCTGACCACAGCACCTTAATAGATATTTATTAAGTTTGATTTGAATTTTTCAGCCTTTGTGTTGCCTCTGAACTACTTTTGTGCTAATGGAGAACTCATCTGGTGTGTGAAGCATAAAGCTCACATGCCTCCCACCTTAGAGAGGTGGTAGACTATAGGTGTAGAATAGATGCATATTTCAGATATAGTCAATGTCGGAAAACTAGTCAGAACAATGTTTTGTTTAACTCATGTTACAAAAGAGGGTTTTATGGGGTTGGAAGGGTCTTCATTGGGAGGGTTTAATGAAACAACATCAAAACTTAAAAAGCTTGGAGAGAGGCAGCCTGTGGGATCTAGTGGAATTTTGTATTTTAAGTATTGTAGTAGTTTCAGGGAAAATCTAGCCTAGTGTGATTTTGATTTCCCAGCCTTGACTGGGTTTGATCATTGTCTCCTAAAGAATAAGGCCCTTGTTGGCATCAAATACACGGGGACCTTTGTGTATCAGTGAGATACACTGATGTATCTCAGTGCTTAAGTACCAGTAGCAGCAGGTTCTTAACTGCTGGTTGTTATCCTGTTCTCCCATCAGGTCACTGTTTATTAGTCTCACTATCAAGCCTCTCAGCAAGTCCTCCATGGTTAATGTGGGTGTGATTACATCATTTTAGTGCAGCAAAACATCAGATAATTGTTAATGTACAGAGCCTGGGGCTGTTGTATCAAGAGTTTGTTTGGTGGTTTAAGGGGTTTGATGACATTGACAATGATTTCATAAGATACCAGTTTATGACCATGGGCTTATATTTCAGTGTTGCCAATGTGATACAGCAGGCAGGATGTCCTGTGCCAGAGTACATCAGAAGTTTCCACAAGCTTCCAAGGTAACATCCCACTGTCTAACAGGACTGCTTATCATTGCAGCAATGCATCCAAGTTTTGTTTCCAGCAGAGTAAATAGATTGATTTGTTCTCTTGATAATTCTGTGAATTCTTTTTTCAGAAAAGTGTCATTGTTTTGAGTCTTTAAAATGAAAGTGTTTGTCTTCAAAGCTTTGTAAATATCACTGCACATTTTCAACCTGCCAGTCTCCTTCCTAGCAATTTTACATTTGGGATTATTTTTTCTTACTGTCTAAATGCAACTAAGATAGGACTAATTGTTTTGGGGAATTTTTAGCTCATTAAACTTGAGGAAGGGAGCAAACTCCCTCAAGAGACAGAATCCAGATATAGTGCTTATTTCATTAAGTTGGACAAAGTACTATTTTCATCAAGTTAGAACGTTTTAAAACTAATTGAACTCTGCAGCATCTTGTGAATACCACCTAGTGCTTCATGCTGGGTGGTGATCTGTGCAATTAAAACACAGTTTCAGTTTAAATCAGTGGATGAAAAAATTGCTTTTGGGGTAGAGCCAGAGGCAGATTTTTAGTTGCACTGCATTTAATCTCACTCTTGCCTTCTCTTCTCTGTATTTCTCAGCAAACAAAAGAAGAAGATGATTAAGAAACCATTGGAAAGAGAGAGCATTAGTACAACCCCTAAGTATTTCCTAGAAAACCCTGAAAACGAACAGTAAGTATGTGATTAGAAATAGCTACTGTACCAATCCATCAGGGAGTATGACAATCTTTATTTTGAACTATGAAAAGTTTAATACAGTCCAGCAGCTGGTGACTCGGCAGCTTTGATAGCCCAGGAATTGAGCCCTGGAGTATTTTGCTTTTTGGTGAGGCAGTCGGGGTTAAGTGACTTGCCCAGAGTCACACAGCTAGTAAGTGACCCTGAAATATTTTGGTCAGTGTACCCTAGGGCTCTCATTTTCTACCTTTTTAAAACAGGATCTGACATTACCACCAATCAAAATCCCCACCACCTACCATCTACTGCATGGCCAGCAGGAATTCTTTTCCAGAAGTCATAGATTCCTGCTTTTGGAATTGAGACATGGATTCCATGTTGCAAGATTTTTCCAGCAGTGGGCTATACTACATTTCTCCATTACTCTGCAGTATTTGTTTAATGGAAACAGCACAAGATAGATATGCTTCTTTTTCATTCAGTGAACAAAGATTTATCGAGCTGTACTGTGGACCCAGTACTTTAAATTAAACGCCATAGGTGATACAAAGAGGTATAAGGCACAATAGGTGTCCAAAAGTTGCTTGTTCTCAAGTTTAGGATACAAAACCAACACAATTAAATAAAACAATCTTTTAAAAAATAAGCAATAATAGAAATTCAAAGAAAGAAATCTGTGGGATTACAATAGGTAACCTCTTAAGGATGGGTAGGCTTTAGTTGGGCAGAAGGAAAAGTGTGAGTGGAGGGAATGTCATGAACTGAGAAACGTGTATACTTTGACATAGGTGAGCTCATTATGTAGAAGGTTTTTCTTTCCCAGTTACACGTAAGCCCCAATGACCATGATGTGTACAGAGAACAATGAAGTGCGCAGCCTCAGATTTTACATTTGGGAGTCGTGGGGACATAAGGTCAGGCAGGGTGGAGAGAAGTTGGGGAGATTTTGAAAATAGTTTAGAGGATTCTCATTTTGGGATCTTTGTAGATTACTGGGCAATTCAGTAAACATTAAGTGCCTTCCATATGCAGGGAAAATTCAAATATGATGAGTATGTAGGCAAAGTTCAACAAAGGGGTAAAAAACATCAGGGATAGGGAGGGATTAGGGAAGGATTCATGGAGAAAGTGGTAGCTGAGCTGGGCCTTGAAGGAAAAGAAAGAGTGCAACAGGTAGAGAAGTGGAGGGGCTTCTAATTAAACAAGAGAATTTATTTTGTGAAATTGTTCTGCATGTAGGCAGAATCAGACAAAAATGAAATGATAATAGTAATAATAACATTTATATAGCACTTACTATGTGTTAAGGCACTATACAAAGCACTTTTTACAGATGTCATCTGATTTGATCCTTACAACAACCCTGGGAGGTAGGTGCTATTATTATCCCCACTTTATAGTTGAGGAAACTGAGGCAAACAGAAGTTAAGTCACATGCCTCAGTTCCACAGCTAGTAAGTGCCTGAGGCTGGATTTGAACTCAGGGCTTACTAACCCCAGGCCTAGTTCTCTTTCCCTTGCTCTACCAGCTGCCCCTAGACTGAGGCATTCTTAATTGGGCAGATAGTCCAATCTAATTAGAATGCAGGGTGGTACAAGGAAAAGTGCCTTGGATCTGAAGTCCGAGGAAGTTTCCTCATCTGCAACATAAGGAGATTGGACGCGATGTCTCTGAGGCCCTTCCAGCTCTGGATCTCTGGTCTCCAGCCATTTATTAAATGCCATTTCTGTGTAAGGCACTCTACTGGTCCTGGGAGAGATGCCATTGTGGAAGTCATACTCTCAGTGGAAACACATATGGAAATGTGATTCCCTCTATGATATTGCAGAGTAGATGTGTTCAAGAGAGGTGCAGGGTGCAATTCAGGGTCCCAAGAAGAAAAGGGCATTTTTGGCAGGGAAGGATTGGAGAGGCCTTATGGAGGAGATGCTACTGATTTCAATTGCTCCCTGATTTTTTTTCACAGAAAAATTACTCATCAGAATGCCAAAAAGAAGACAGCACCTACTAAAACCAAAAATAGTAATCAGATGCCTTCAAAGACTATTCCAGAAATATAATTCCCTTGCCTTAAGCATCCCAAAGTGAAGTGCTGTTTTCATGGAACACTTTGAGTCGCCTATCTCCTAGACTGAAATAAAACTCCAAGAAGCCGTCAGTACCAAAAGTGATAGGTGATCGTGTGCTATCACTGTTTCATATCAAGTTTCAACTTAGAGGTGCCTTTAGGGATAATACTTTGAAAGGAAAACTATTCTTGGAAATGTTTGTGAGTTGAATTCACAGGGAATACTTCTTAAAGAAGACCCTAGTGCACAGATGGGCCAAGAAACACCCAGGTATGGGTGATCATTTCAGAAAGATTGCAGGTGGAGGGAATGATCACTGCTGCATGGCACCTGAAGACAAAGTAAAACATCAGCTGTCACTTGAGAATTTGAGAACATCTTGAATAAAGCATCATGAAAGCCACATGCCATGAAGTCAGACGTAACATGTTCATTTATTGTGGGGATGCTTTTGTGAGGTGGGCACTGCAAAGTTAAACCCCTAGAAATGAGCTGGAGCTCTTCTGTTATGGTCTTCATTCTATCAGGGAAGCACCAAACTCCTCTGCCATCGTGTTGCTAGAGTTAGATCACTGTCAGTGGCACCTCATTTTCCACCACTTAACCACGTCATTGCATCCTATCTTTTCCTATACTCTTTGGTTTTTGTCGAAAACTGATCTGTGGTTTATCCTGATAGGAATGAATGCTCCTATTACTTGATATCTTTTTGGTACCACTCTCCTGTGTCTGCCTCCCTATGGGTTTTATGCTCTCATTTCATCTAGTAAGCTAATCCTTGCCAAATGTACTACATAGGGAAATAGAAACTATTCTTTGGTGCATGTGGGCTTGGCACTTTTGTAAATGGTGGTTTTGTACTATGGAATAAAAAGTCTCTTGATCTCAAGAATGTGACTCACAGAAATGGCCTCCTCAGTTTGTACTGTTTGTTTATTTAGAACATTTATACTATGTTCTAATAAAGTTAAGGCTCACTAATGTGGACTAATGGGAGGAGGGAGCCTAGTTAACCTTGTGAAAAGCTATAATTATATAACACTTATGCCTCCTTTACACTGTTTACAAATTTCAAATCAATTACCAAGCATTTATTAGATACATATTACGTTTCAGGCACCAATAGGTAAAAATGATGAAGTTCCTGCCCTCAATTTCTGTCAGGGAAACCTGTAAACATATACATGTTTAAACATGCATATATCATATATATATATATATAATATATACATATAAACACATACATGATATATATTAAAACATAACATGGTATGTAAATACCATATTAATAAGCAAAAAAGGTGATTTTGGTAGGAGGGGAGTACCAGGAGGTGGGGATTAGAAAAAGCCTCCTGTGCTTAAACTCAGCTTTGAAGAAAGCTAGGGATGCTGTGGGGAGGGGGGAAGACAGGGTTGTGAAAAAAGTACATTACAGGTGTGTGAATGCACAGGCATGGATTGAGACTGAACATAGGGATGAGGAGCAGGAGGTAGCCACTTTGACTGAAACTGTGGACGAGGAGGACCTGCCCAAGGGGAGTATTTTATCCTAAAAACAATAGAGAACCACTGGTGAGTAGGAAAGTGACAGCCAGACCCATGTTTTAGGAATATCACTTTTGCAGGAATATGTGGGATGGATTGGAAATCCTTATCTATCCCCGATTAACCCAACCCTCATTATTGTTTTCTTAGGAAGAAAAAAGAAAACCCATGAAATAAGAGCTCACTTCACCCACTACAAATCTGTTAAATAACTTCAGCTAAGCCTTCAGGGTTTCCCATCAGATGGCTCCTTGCCATCTGTTCACAAACACGTTCTGGTTTCCTGAATCCTAAAAAAAGTCTTCCCTTGAACGGTGTAATCCTGGGGTGGGGAACCTTCTGGCCTCAAAGCCTCCCATGGCCTTCTAGGTCCTTGGGTGCAGCCTTTTGATCGAGTCCAAGTTAGTAATGTATATAAAAAGCTCTCCTTGACTTGGAAGCTGAGTCTCACAACAATGCTGTGGGGGAAAAGCACTGGGCCTAGGGTCAAGAAGACTCATTTTCCTCAGTTCAAATCTGGCCTCTGCCACTTCCTAGCAGTGTGACCTTGGGCGAGTCACTTAACCCTGTTTGCCTCAGTTTCCTCCTCTGTCAAATGAGCTGGAGAAGGAAATGGTAAACCACTCCAGCATCTTTGCCAAGAAAACACTAAATGGATTCACAGAAGAGTCATACGTGACTGAAAAACGACTGCACAAGTACTACAGATATTTTATCCCCTGTTTCACAGATAAGGAAACTGAGGTCCAGACCAGTTCAGCTGGCCAGGAAACAACTAGGTGGCTATCAGTAGAAAAAAGGCTTGGAGTCCAAAAGAAGACCTGAATTCAAATTTGGCCTCAGACACTTGTGTGACCCTGGACAAGTCACTTGAACCTTTGCCTCAGTGCCGATCTGTAAAGTGGGAATAACAGCACTCACCTCCCAAGGTGGTTGTGAAGGTCAAATGATGTGATACTTGTAAAAGCTCTAAGTACAATGCCTGGCACACTAAGTGCTAAATAATGTTAGCTACCATTATTAAGTGACTTGCTCATAGTAACAAAGCTAGCACATGTCCAAGGCAGAATTCGAACCCAGGGCTTCCTCTAATCACAGTTTAGCCTTAGCTGGGGAGGGTGGGTCGGCCCAGCACAGCCCAAGCGGGGCGGGGCGGGACGGGACGAGTCATAGACAAGCACCACAGACCCACAGGTACTTGAAGAAAGCCAGGAGGTCACGTCGTGGGGGCGGGGGCTCTTCCCACGCCGAGTCGGGTCACGTGCCCACTCAGAGCCCGTCCCAGCAAACGGAACGGGGGTGGGGCTGGGGTGGAGGTGGTGCTGCCCGCTGCCCCGGAAGTGGCTGCTCTCAGCTGACAGAGCCTTCTAAGGTGGCAGCGGCAAGAACGGCTGGTTTGGGGGAAGATGGCGCTGCGGCCGGGAACGGGAGCCGGCGGCGGCGCTGGCGCAGGCGGAGGGGCAGCCGGGGCCGGCTCCGGGGCTAGCGGGGGAGGCAGGTGTGTGTGGAGTGCCCGCGCGAAGGCGTGAACGGCGGTTGGGGCGGTTGGGGCGGTTGCCGGTTGTAGCTGAGCCGGGGCCTGGGGATGGGATGGGAGGGTCGTTGCCCCGGCGACTGGGGCGATGGTTGAGGAGGGGAAGCTCGTGACTGCGGCTGCGCCAGACCCTTGTGGGGCGGGGGTGGGGGGAGTTGGGCTCATGCAGGGTTGGCCCCCGGCCCCGCTAGATGCAGTTCCTCCGGGCCCTCGGCCACCTGTTCCCGGAGGAGTTTGCGCTGGGGAGGTATCCGGCCGGATGCGGCGGCTCTTGCTCGTGCTGAGGTGCTCGTGGGAGACCTCTTCCTTCGCCCCAGATGCTGTTGTTGGCCCCTTGTCTTGTTTCCTACCCCAAATACACGAGAAAAGCCCCGCGGCCGCCGCGAAAAGAAACCGAGACACGGGTCCGAGCCCTGAGCCCTCTGCCGGGCAGGCCGCGCTGGTTAGCGGAACTGGTAGAAAGAACAAAGCTCCCTCAGGACAGAGACTGTTGTTTCTTTGCCTTTGTGCTCTTCTTCAGTGCCCGGCACGTCAGGAGTCCCTAGTAAATTCCGTGCAGTGTTATTACTGGACTCCAGGAGGAGGTATCATTTTATGCCATAGAACCAGCATGGGCAGGACCCTGAGTTTCCCCTGTGACCAGTGGCACACACAGGGTCCCCGGGCTGCAAACCATGCCTCCTAAGGCTTACTAAATAACTTGAAACAACTTGGGTTGGCAAGTCACTTAATTTCCCTTGGTTTCCTCATCAGCAAAATGGTGAGGTTACTCTAGATCAGGGATTTTTAACCTGGAGTCCGAGAATTTTAAGAAAATAACTGTTTTGATAACTATTTCAATAGAATTGGTTTCCTTTGTGATCTTGTTTTATACCCTTAAAAGCCAACTGCCTAAGGGGAAAAGACACAATGTTTAGAAGTCAAGGCTTCAGGTTCTCTTCTTCCGTAGATCTATGGCCCTGTGAATAAGGTTTATGGAGATTAAAGTTCGCTTTATCTTCTATGTCCTAAGTTATTTTTGGAAAATAGTCTTTTTTCTTTTGTGAAGTTATTTGAAGAAACCAAACTTTGTAGTTATTTTGTGACAGCTAAACAAGGAACAGTGTTACTAGGAAACAAGTCGCTTTTTAAGAAACTGCCTGTTTTTATACCTCCTATACCTTTCTACTCAATTGTACTTTAATAGACTAAATGGAGAGAGTGTGTTTAGTACTATCAACATTGTAGCCCTTTAACGCACCTTCTTTTAATGAGAAAGGACTCGTATCTATGTACAAATGATTTTAAAATAATGGTTTACGTTTTAAAATTTAACTTCTGTTTTTGTGTTCTATTGCCACATTTTAAGTAGAGCTCTTTATTAATTTTTGTAATTCACCTTCAAGTTGAAAAGCATGAATAGTTTATGATCTCGATATTATTTTCTTATGGTTTATTATAGTTTTGGAAATTTCCTAGGTTTTTAATCACATTTTAATTTCACTCCATTAAATTATCCTTGGCAGTAAATTCTCATAATTCATTTAAAAGAATTTGTTACTCTGGGCAGAGGTTTAAAAAATTCTGAAGCATAGACTGGTTTCTTGAAGGAGAAAGTGGTACATCTTTATGATTCCAGTCTCTTGTTCTTTTGTCTGCCAAGCTTCTGAAGGGCAAGTCAGTTAATTAGGGAATTCATCAGAATGCGGAAACTTGTTCATTTGTTCTCTAATGTAAAAACTGAACGCTGAAGAGTAAATTCTCTGTATGTATATATGCTTTTCAGAGGTTAAGAAGACATTTCAGGCAATTAAAATTTAGATTTCAGTGATTTCTGTTTTGGTGTGACATTATTATTTTCCAGAGCATTTTGTTTGTCATAAGTATGTTTTAGGGGGAAAAAAAAACCAGGCAATTAGCTTCTTAACTAGTTTATATTTCACTATGTATAACTGACTTTTACCTCTGGTTCAGTAAACAAGTACAAAGTTTGGTTTGCTTATCAACAAACTTTTGATTGGTATCATATATAGTATTTTAAGCAAAACCATATGATAGTAGGTAAAACTGAAGACAAAAATCCATGGGAAGTCACTGAGTTCACTTAGAACAGCAAAAAGAAAAGGAAATGGAAAATCCAAGTTAGTCCTAGAGAGGCTTATTTTTTTTTAATTCTTTCCTTCAGCAGTTATTCATTGAGTGTCTGTAATGTGCAGGGAGGGATACAAAGATGCCAAAGACATGGTTCCTGCCCTTGAGGGACTCAGAATATGTTAAGGGGAAATAAGATGTATACAGAAAACTAAAGTACATTTATACGATAGACATATTCCAACAATATGTTATATCTTCTGCCTATGTGATATGCCATAGGAGTGATATGCACTGCTTGCTAAAGGAATGCAAAGAGAAGACTCGCCTCTTCTCATGGCCAAAGACAGCACCATGGAAGAGGTTGTATTTGAACTAGGCTTGGAAGGCCTAAGAAGAGGTAGGGAATAACAGAACAGAGGAAACAGAACAAGCACAAAATGGGGGTGGGGGAATGGAATGAATGGACAGGGAATAGTGAGTATCTTATTTGGCTATAACTTTAAAGCTGGAAGACACCTTGGAGGTTTTCTAGACCTGCCCTTCATTTTACAGTTGAGGAGGCTGAGGCCCAAGGTAAGGGTTTATATAAGGAAAAAATAAGAGGAAAATGCTGGAGAAGGAGTTAGGAGAAGCTAAGGAAGATCATAGGCTCATGGATTAGAGCTGCAAAGGACTTCAAAGATCCTCATTTTATGTATGAGGAAACTGAAGTCTAGAGGGAATAAGTGACTGTGGAGCCGGTGCTCTTTCAGTTTTATTGGGACTACCACAGATAAAGCCAATTTCTCTTAGCAGTGGGGAACCAAAGAAAGTTTTGGGGAAAGTGAGTGACTGTGTGATCCAGAAAGTCTGGAGGAATGAAGCCCAATTAAAGAGACAATTGAAGTAGATTTAGTATGAAAAACTGTTCTGAACTAGAGTAAGCATAGTAAAAGTGGGAAAGAAGGTGCAAATGCTAGAGATTTTTAACTTGTAGAAGTTGTGTATCTAGAATCACCATAACACTGATTGGTAGTAATACAATTTTTGGTCAGTATTTCCATGATTCTTTGCTGTCTCATCCTTTCCTTACTGTTTGGTCAATTACTTGTCTAATAGGACTTCTGGGGATACAAAGAAAAAGCAAAAATAGGTAATTGGCAAATCATGTACCTGTGGGAGTTTCTCTTCAGCATTATAACTTTTGAGCAGGAAATACAGACACGTCATTAAGCCCAACTTCCTCATTTGGTAGATGCAGCATCATGGGCATTGTGACTTCTAGTTAGTGACAGAGCAGTGACTAAGGCCTAATGCTCTTTCAGGTAGTGCCAAGGTAGTTTGTTTTTTTGGTATGGAAGTATGTACTGGTAGGGTGGATTTCATTACAGGTAGAGCTTTGGCAGTCTTGCTATTTCCATTGACAGAGATCCTAAGAAAGGGTCAGTTAGCTATAGTAACACAATCAGCCCATACAGAGCTTCCTTTTTAATTTCTTTTCCACTTAGCCCCTGACACAGATGGTTAATTGTTTTCATTTTTAATATCAACTTGAAAAAAATCTCTTAAGCTGATTTTTTGAATGCCATTCTCTTTCATCTGAGTAATAAATAACTTTTAAAAGTCAGTTGTTGGTTACTTTTCATTTAGGTTTTATTACCAGTTCAGTGTAAATTAATGGTGCTGAGCTACAAGCTTATAGGTACCATGATCCCAGTTTTAGCTGAGTCATGAAGAGATGGTCGGTATGACTAATACTGTGCAAACCTTTTTAATAGTGTCAGAATCATAGAATTTTAGTTTTATATTGAATCCTCTCTTATGATCTGTTGTATACATGGCAATGTTTTTTTTTTCTTTTCTCATTTTGTATTTAAGTTTAAAATAAACAAATTTACAGAAAAAAAGAATCACAGAATTTTAGAGCTTAATGGATTCTTCTGCTCAAAATTTGTTTAGAGCCATTTTTTACAGGTATTTGGCGGGGTTTGGGGGAGAGCTCAAGCAAGTCACTGCTTTTACTCCACCATCTTGGCTCTGCCTCTAAATGGATTCTTAAAGATCATTGATTCACAATCAACATCAATGATTATAGTTACTAAAAGTTTTCTATGGCAGAACAAACTCCAACGCCTTACTCATGGAAAATTGTCATGTATAAAAACAGTATTTTGGTCTTAACAGAATTTTTAAAAATAAAACACTAAACTAAAAATCTTGTTCAATGAAAAATCTGACTGCAAAGTACATGTCTTATTTCTCCAATGTATTTTATGACATTTTAAGTTAATCCCCTAATTATCACCAGTATCACTGAAAACTGAAACATGAAAAAAATTACTTGTTTAAGATCAGTCTTTGTGGGAGCAATAGACATTTACTAAGTCCACAAGGACATTCAATAAATATTTGATGATAGGGAGGAAAACCTTTTGACTATGACATTTCCTTGTTATGTATTTCAGCTTCATATTTCCTGTTGCAAGTGGAATAGGACCCCCTCAAGGTATGTGAGAGTTTATTTTGAATGTTTCCTTATTTCGTAATTAACTTTTTTGAGTTGAAGGTTAATGGGTAAAATGAACAGAAACTTAACTGTCTCACTAATAAATAAAATAGAATTTTCCTTCTGCTTAGAACACATTTGACATCTACCTTTAAAGTTTCTCATAATGGGCTTTGGGGTGAAGTGGTTAGTATCACTCCTCATTTCTCCTTAAGTGCTGAAAAATTTATAATAAACAGGTTTTTGTATAAATTCATAGAAAAAGAAAATTCAGGAGTAAGATCCAATTAAGTCCAAAATCAACTTCAAAATACAAGATGGGTTGAAACATGGTTAGATAGTAGTTTGAAAATTATATTGAGGGTTTAGTGGACTGGAAACTCAGTATAAGTTAGCAGTTTGAAATGACACTCAAAAAAGCCGCTGTGATCTTGGGCTGCATTAAGAGAATCATAACTTCTAGGAATAGGGAGATTAATAGACTCACTGACTCCTTCTTCATCAGATCTGAACTTGAGTTTTCTCTTGAGTCCTAGGCACCATCATTTAAGAAGGACATTGATAAGCTGGACAATGTCCATATATGTGAAAATCGGCTGAAATAACAAGGGTCTTTTAGCCTGGAGAAAAGAGTTGAGGGATGGGGGTGGGGGGCGAGATATGTTACTTCCTTTATTAAAATTTTTGAAGGGCTCTCATAGGGAGAAAGGATTAGACTTACTCTGTTTAGCTCTAGAGAGCAAGACCAGGAGCAATAAATAGAAACTGCAAAGAAGCAAATTTATGTTTGATATCAAGAAACTTCTTAATTAAAACTAACCAAAATCAGGTGAGCTGCCTTGAAAGTTGGTGGGTTCCCCTTCTTTGGAGGTCTCCTAGTAAAGGGTAGTTGACCGCTTACTGAATATGTCATAGTGGAGATTCCTTTCAGATAGGAGCTGCTGAGGTCCTTTCCAATTCTGTGATTGATTCTCTAATCGGTGGCTGTGCCATTTAGGTCCATGTTCTGAAAAGGATATCTTTTCATTGGTGGGCAAATCATCTATAATCTGTCAGTATACTACGAAGTTTTCTGTGAATTGCTGTTTAGCATCAGTGGAGGAAGTTTCCACACTAGAAGTTCCTCACTTGGATGAAACTGTTCTGGATGCCCTTTCCTACTAATTTTTCTCCCTTGTTTTCTCTGGAGGTTTGATTTTATAAGAATACTCCGTTTTCCCCGAAAACCTATTGTTAATTGGTTGTCAAGGTGGAGAAACAGAATGATAGGTCACTAGTTGGGACAGCAAGAGACACAGAACAGCTCAGTGAAAGTTAGGGGGTAATTCATCCTGACCTTTTTTTTACTCATAACTAATGGTGCAGGTTGAATTTTAGTTTTCCAAAAATCTATTTATCTTTTCCATGTACTTGCATGTATTATTTAAGACATGAACATTCTTTAGTGATGACACAGAAAATGTATTTTTTTTAATTTCTTGGTTTTCTTCTTTCTTTTTTTCTCAAATTAACCAATGGTTTATCTGCCTTACTGGTTTTTTCATAAAACTAGCCCCTAGTTTTATTTATTAGCTAGATAGCTTTTTTACTTTCAATTTTATTAATTTTTGGTGCTCAATTAGGGTTTCTAAATTTGTTCTTTTAAGTTGCATTCGCAGTTCATTGATCTGTTCTTTCTCTGTTTTACTGATGTAAGAATTTAGAGAAATAAATTTTCCCCTAAGTACTGCTTTGACTGCATTCCATAAATTTTGGTGTATCCTTGTTGTCATTCTCTTCAATGAAATTATTGATTATTCCTATGATTATTTAGTTTCCAATTAATTTTTTTAATTTGTTTTTTGCTAGACAGTGGAGTTAAGTGACTTGCCCAGAGTCACACAGCTAGTAAGTGTCAAGTGTCTGAGGCTGTATCTGAATTCAGGTCCTCCTGACTTCAGGACTGGTGCTCTATCCACTGTGCCACCAAGCTGCCCTCATGTGGGGCATTTCTTCTTCTTCTTCTCCTCCTCCTCCTGCTACTACTACTATTACTATTGGGAGTTAAGTGACTTGCCCAGAGTCACACAGCTAGTAAGAGTTATGTGTCTGAGGCCAGATTTGAACTCAGGTCCTCTTGACTCTAGAGCTGGTGCTCTATCCACTGCATCACTTAGCTGCCCCCAATTATTTTTTAATCTATCTTTCTACTGCCTTTTGTTGAATGTAATTTTTATTGCATTATGATCCATAAAGGATGCATTTAATATTTTTGCCTTTCTACATTTGAGTTTGAGGTTTTTGTGCCCTAATACATGGTCAGTTTTTGTGTAGGTGCCCTGTACTGCTGAGAAAAAGAGTACGTTCTTTTCTATTCCCATTTAGTTTTCTCCAGAGGTCTGTTATAGCCAACTTTTCTAAAATTCTATTCACCTCCTTAATTTCTTCTTTATTTTTGGGTTGGATTTATCTGATTCTGAGAGGGAACCGTTGAGATCCCCCACTAGTATAGTTTTGCTCTTTTTCCTCCTATAACACTTAATTTCTCCTTTAAGAATTTGGATGCTACACCACTTGGTGCATACATATTTAGTATCAATATTACTTCATTGTCAGTGGTACCTTTTAGCAAAATGTAGTTTCCTTCCTTATCTCTTTTTTTGTTTTTGCTTTATCTGTGATCATGATTGTTACCCCTGCTTTTTTTCTTTTAACTTCAGCTGAAGCATAATAGATTCTGCTCCAGCTTCTTACTTTTACTCTGTGTGTGTGTCTCTGCTTCAAGTGTGTTTCTTGGAAATAACATACTGTAGGATTCTGGTTTTTGATCCACTCTGCTATCCGCTTCCATTTGATGAGAGAGTTCATCCCATTCACCTTCACAGTTACGATTACTAACTGTGTATTTTCCTCCACTCCATTTTTCCTTCTGTTTGTCCTCTCCTTTCACCCTTTCCCCCCTCATCAGTGTTTTGCTTCTGACCATCACCTCCCCCGATCTGCCTTCCTTTCTATCAGTTCCCTCCCACCCCCTTACTTAACCTTCTTCCCTCCTACTTCTTTATAGAGTAAGATAGATTTCTGTACCCAACTGATTGTATATGTTATTCCCTCTTTTAGCCAATTCTAATGAGAGTAAGGTTCAAGTGATGTCCAGTGCCCATCCTCCCATTTCCCCCTCCACTGCAATAGATCTTTTGTGCCTCTTCGCATGAGATAATGTACCCCATTCGACTTCTCCCTTCTTTCTCCTCCCAGTGTAATCCTCTTTCTCACCCCTTAATTAATTTTTTTAATGCCATCCCCTCAAATTCACCTTACACCCATACCTTCTGTTTATGTATACTCCTTTTAACCGCACTATTAGTGATACAGTCCTTAAGAATGACAAGTATCATTTTCTCATGGACAGATGTAAACAGTTTAGCCCTATTGAATCCCTTACATTTTCTCTTTCCTGTTTACCTTTTTATGCTTCTCTTGAATCTTGATAATGAAAACCAGATTTTTTTTTTTGTTCAGTTCTGGTCTTCTCCTCAGGAAAGCTTCTATTTCATTGAATGACCATTTTTTTTTCCCTTGAAAAATTATGCTCAGTTTTTCTGGGGAGGTGACTCTTGTTGTAATCCTGGCTCCTTTGCCTTCTGGAGTATCATGTTCCATCACCTCTGATCTTTTAATGTTGCAGCTGCTAAATCCTGTGTAATCCTGACTGTGGCTCACCGATATTTAAAATTGTTTCTTTCTGCCTGCTAGCAGTATTTTTTCTTGACCTGGGAGTTCTGGAATTTGGCTATAATGTTCTGGGAGTTTTCATTTTGGAATGTGTTTCCAGAGGTGATCAATGAATTCTTTCAATGTCTATTTTACCCTCTGGTACTAGGATATCAGGGCAGTTTTCTTTGATAATTTCTTGAAGTATAATGTCCAGGTCCTCCTTTTGAATATTACGGCTTAAGGTAATCCAGTCATTTTTAAATTATATCTCCTGGATCTGTTTTCCAGGTCACTTGTTTTTCCAATGAGGCATTTTACATTTTCTTCTATTTTTTCATTCTTTTGATTTTGATTGATTAATTTGTAGTTTTGTTTGTTTGTTTGTTTGCTTTTTGGTGAGGCAGTTGGGGTTGAGAGACTTGCCCAGAGTCACACAGCTAGTAACTGTCAAGTGTCTGAGGCCAGATTTGAACTCAGGTCCTCCTGACTCCAGAGCTGGTGCTCTATCCACTGTATCACCTAGCTGCCCCTGATTGATTCTTGGTGTCTCATAGAGTCATTAGCTTCTACTTGCCCAATTCTAATTTTTAAGGACTTGTTTTCTTCAGTTAGCTTTTATACCTCCTTTTCCATTTTGCCAATTCTGCTTATTAAGGTGTTTACTTTTTCTGAGCTATTGGCTCTTTTTTTCATGGTTCTCTTACATCACTCTCATTTCTTTTTCCAGTTTTTCTTCTACCTCTCTTATTTGATTTTTAAACTCCTTTTTGAGCTCTTCCATGAGTTCTTTCTGGGCTTGAATCCAATTCTCATTTTTCTTTGGGGCTTTGTCCATAGGCATTTTGACATTGTTGTCCTCTTCTGAGTTTGTGTCTTGATCTTCTTTGTCACCATAATAACTTTATATGATCAGACTCTTTGTCTGTTTTTTTGCTTATCTTTTCCAGCCTTTTTCCTTTTAAATTTGAGCTCTGCTCCTGGGGTGGAAGAGGCACTGTCCCAAGTTTCTTTTGCTGCAGGCTATAGGCCCTGTCCGTTTGCCTGGTGCTTCACTGGTGCTACCCTGAGGCCCATGGTGGGGGGGGGGTATCCTCCTGCCTGGTGTTGCACTGAGGGGTTGGGGTGGGAGGTGGGTGGCACTGCTGGAGGCCGCAAGAATCTGTCACTCACCTGATGCTGCACTGAGGCATGTGGGGAGTCCCAGTGCTGGCATCTGCCTCTTCCCCCAGAACTACCCTGAGGCAAGTGAGGAATCCTGGCACTGGCCTGGCATTTGTTACAAGGGCGGGGGTGGGGGGGGCACGAGTGTCCTGCGCTGGTGTCTGCCTGTTTACCTGGAATTATGCTGAGGCACATGGGGGTCCTGGTGTTAACCTTTTCCTGCTCACCTAGCATCACACTGGGGCTCAGGGCCTCCTGCTGGCTTGCCAGGATACTTCCTGTCCTGGATTGTGTTCCCCCTTTACCCCAGTGAGACAGACCTTTCCTGCCGACCTTCCAAGTTTCTTTGGCTGGAACATTGTTTCACCCCATCTTTTTGCTGGTTCTGCTGTTTCAGAATTGTTTTGTGGGCACTATTTTATAGTTGTTTGGAGGTAAATATGGGACAATTCAAGTGGTTTCCTGCTTACTCTGCCATCTTGGCTCCCAGAAGTCTCTTTTTTTTAAAGATTTCTTTAAGAAGGAATTATAAAATTATATGTTTATTATTATAGCTGCATTTTTTTACTTATTTCCTGCTTTTATCATTTTAAGTAAAAGTTCACATGAAAAAGAAATCCAAAAATATTGCCTTAGTTACTAAGTTGTATTCCAGAAGGAGAATGTGTCAATGCTATCCTGAAACTTTTTTAGACTGTTTGACAAAGAATGTTAGAAATTGAGCATGGCCAGATGTAGTGGTACACATCTATAAACCCTGCTCCCCATCCGCTGAAGTTGAAAGGTCTCTTGAGCATGAGAGTTCTGAGCTGCAGAGGGAGTGGAAAGGAATAGGGGAAAGAGGAGGTTGCCTAAGGAGGTTGAACTGGCCCAGGTCAGAAACAGAGCACCCATGTCAGTCAGTACAGTGAGGTCTATAAATTAGTCCTTACACTTCAGCTTGGGCAAGATAAAAGACACAGTCTTGAAAAAGAAAGGAAGAAAAAGGGAAGAGGAAATTTACAATATAACTCAAAAGAATATTTGACTACTTAATTTTAAAAATTTTTTATTGATATGTTTTTAAGTAACCTTCATTTCCAAACTTATCCTTCTCCTTTATCCAGTGAGTCATTTCTTGTAAGGAAAAATTAAAAAGGAGGGAAAAAAAATTCAACAAAATAACCAACACATGACCAAGTCTGACTCCATACAGTGTTTCATGACCATAATCCCCCCTAATTCTGCAACAAAAGGAGGGAGGTACATTTTTGTCCCTTTTTCAGAAAGACCAAGTTTAAACCACTTAGATTTTAAAACCAAAGAGAAAGGGGAGGATGAAATACAAAGCTTATTTTAAGGTATATTTAGACTCTCTCTGACATACCAGTATGAGTTTCTTACTTCCTTTCATATTTTCAACATAATCCCTATTGCATTGTTACACAGTATACTTTGCATGCTAATTGCTGTTTCTGGAATGAATGCTTAATTACTAACATACCCCGCAGGATTATTTAACAGAGTTTTAAGAGCAGACTTTAAAAGTTATTAATTTGAATAATGCTCTTATGTTTTCAAATAGGTCTGATGCCAATTCAGCAACAAGGATTTCCAATGGTTTCTGTTATGCAGCCTAATGTGCAGGGCATGATGGGAATGAATTACAGTTCTCAAATGTCTCCAGGACCTATTGCCATGCAGGTACTTGTCTTATTAACTTATTGTTTTGAAAGGTACACTTTCTGTGGCTGTTACACTTCTGTGTCCTACAGACTATTAATGTCTAGGTTATGAATTCCTTAGATAACTTACCATCTACGGAGGGCAGTGAGGTGGCACAGAAGAGCACCGACCCTGGAACCAAGAAAACCTGAGTTCAGATATGGCCTCAGACACTAGCTGTGTGTGATCCTGGGCAAATCACTTAACCTCTGTTTGCCTCAGTTTCCTCATCTGTAAAAGGGGATAATAATAGTAGAACCAGATGAGATAACTGCAAAGGATTTGGTACAGTGCCTGGCACATAGTAAAAGCTATATAAATGTTAGCTATTTTTATTATCTAAAGAAGGTACAAGCACTTGCAAATAGTAAGTGGAAAAAGGAATCAAAATGTGCATTTGAAGAATTAGAGAAGCACAGGCCTTTTGAAAAGGACACCTACTGATTGTTCTCCTTATTTTTGCTGGACTTTTGGATTAGAGATGATTTAGATGCTAAAATTAATTATATTTTGAAAGTTTAAAAACCTCAGTCTTCAAAAAAAGTCTAGAAAAAAAAGATAAACTTTGGTGTGCTTTGATCCAACATTTTATCAATCAGATATAACACAGGAAGTCTAGATAAATAGAAGGAAATAATCTCTGTCCTTGAGAAGCTTCCTTTTGAAAGAGATAAAATATAGTTAGAATGAGACTCTGAAGAAACAACAAAGGGAAAGCAAGAAGACAGGTTTTGTCATTTCTATTGAATTCTAAATCAATACTCTCTCTGATTAGAACCTCTTCACCTTTTTTCTTTCACTCTACCATGCCTTCTGAGCCTGTTTTCAGCCTTCCTTCAGATACCCATTTGCTCAGTCATTCCTACTTTTCTGAGTCCACTATCCTTCAAAATCCTTTCCATCCTAAACTTCCTAATCAAATCCTTCAAGTGTCTTCTTTTTCTGCCCCTTTATTTAACAACCCCAAAGTCAAATGGTTAACAATCCCCAACCTTGAATTATCCCCGTTGTGGCTGTCTTCCTCCTTCTAGGTCACTGAAAAGTTCTAAAAGATGCGCATCCAAAGCTGGACTTTGTTATGTATATGTTATGTTGCCAGATGTCAAGCTGGCCCTTACTTGCTATTCACTAATACTTAACTTTCATGAATTCTCTATCACACTCATCACTACAATTTTTCCATGTCTTTTATTTACTCCTTAAGGTTCCTAACTTTTTCCTCACTCCCAGCATGCACATACTCTTTAACAGTTGATTTCACTTCCTTCTGGAATGAGTCACCTCATATACCTTCATCTTTACCTCAGCACATCAGTATCTTTGTATTTGTCCTCTCAACTGTTTCTCTAGTCACAGAGAAATAAGATTCTCCCCTCTCTTCTAGAGCCAAGACTTCTACATGCACTCATGACCCCTCTTACCTCCTTAGAAACATTGCTTCCATAATTATCCCTTATCTCTTTACAGCCTTGTCAGTTCTTTCTTCTTCTCCAAGAATTCATGCCCTTATGAAATCACAAGTCTGGTCCTCCCCCTCGAAAAGCATCTAACCATTCTTTGGTCTCTTCTATCCTTAAGACCTTCACTTGTCCCTTTGATGAATATCTTCAGATATATTCTACTCTGGAATCCCTTGTCCCATTGTCCTTATCATCAATCATATTTTGCCAAACCTCAACCCTAGATTATTCCTGCCTTCTATCTCCTTTACTCCTATCCATGTGCTCCTGGACAGAGCTGTAGAAAATCATGCAACTGTGGATTAGATCCACGTACAAATTAATATTTCATAATCTCAATTAGATCCTCACTGCAGTTAGGCAGTACTTTTATACTTCCTTAATTGATTCGCTTTCCCATTCACCACAGAAGTTATCCCAAATCTTTTCATCTCTCTGCAGACTTCTCATCACACCCATCTCTTTCTCCTTCCTCCTGCCCCGCATAGGCCTTTCCCTTCTCCCCTCCCATCCTCTCAGGTAAGGACATCACTTTATTAAAGCCATTTGCCAAAAGCTTCCTCTTCTCTCTTCCTCATCTCACAAAACTCATATACTCCATCACCATCTGCTCCTTATCTACTGACTAATGAGTTGAGTAAACCTTTCTACATAAACTCCTCATTCTCTCCCCTCCCTTTTTCAGCACATTGCCCCTACTGGCATCCCCATTTCTTCACTAATCTTCTGGTCTTTCCCTAACTCCTATGCTGACTATTAACATGCTCATGTCTCTCCCATCCTTAAAAAACTCACTAGATCTGTCCATCTCCACTAGCTATCATTCTGTATTTTGCCTCTTTGAGAAGTCTGTCTGTAGTTGGTGCCTTCACTTTCTTTCCTCTCTCTTAACTCTCTGAAGTCTGGCTTCCAACTTCATTCAACTGAAACTGTCCTCTCCAAAGTTATCAGTGATCTCTTGGTTGCCAAATCTGTGACCTTTTCTGAGTCTTCATCCTTCTTGACTTCTCTGCAACCTTTAACACTGTTGATGACTATCTACTAGATACTCTTTCCTCTCTCAGGGTTTTTTTTTTTTTGACACTGTTCTCTCTTAGTTCTCCTCCTACCTGTCCGACTGTTTCTTCTTAGTCTCCTGAATATTCATCTGTGTCTTTTTGGTCACCCATTAAACATGGGTTTTCCCTCAAAGTTCTTTCCTGGGCCCTTTTCTCCCTCCATTCTCTTGCTTGGTGATGTTGTCAGTTCCCATGGGTGCAGTTATATCTCTATGCAGATGATTCTCAGGTCTGTATGTCCAGCCTCAATCTTTTGAGCTCTATTCCTGATTCAACCAACTCCCTTTTGGACATCTCAAGTTGGATGTCCTGTAAGCATTTCATATTCAGCATGTTCAAAACAGAATTCATTACCTTTCCCCTCAAACACTCTACTCTTTTCAGCTTGCCTATTACTCTTGAGAATATTACCATTCTCCCAGTCACCCAGGCTTTCAACTTTGGTGTCATTCTCAACTCCTTACTTGGACTCATCCCACATATACAGTCTGTGGCCAGATCTTGTTGTTCCTACCTTCAAAGCGTCTTTCATTTACGTCCCCTTCTCTCTACTCACCCAGCCACCACAATTTGTACAGGCCTCCATCACATCTCACCTGGACTATTGCAATAGCTTTTTAGTTAGAATCTCTGCCTCAAGTCTCTACTCACTCCCACCCTCTACTTAGCTGACAGAGTGATAGTGATTTTCCTAAAACACGGGTCTCATCATTTCAGACTGTACTTAATAAACTCCAGTGGCTCCCTTTACCTCCAAGATCAAATACAAATTCCTGTGTTTGGCAGTTAAAGCCCTTCATCACCTGACCACTTCCTACTTTTCTAGGTTTCTTATGCTCCCCTCCTCTCCACATATTCTGCAACCCAGCTACACTGGCCTTCTTGCTGATCCTTACCTATGATACGTTGTGCCTTTGGATTGGCCATCCCCTAATCTCTCTCTCTCTGTCTCTCTCTGTCTCTCTCTCTCTCTCTCTCTGTCTCTCTCTCTCTCTCTCTCTCTGTCTCTGTCTGTCTGTCTGTCTCTCTCTCTCTCTCTCTCTCTCACACACACACACACACACACACACGTCTTCCCTTGGAGATTACTTCCACCCACTCTGCATTTTGTGTGTCCTAATCATTTGCTTGTCTCCTTTTTAAAAATATTAGTGCTCCTCAAGGACAGGAGATAGTGTTTCACCTTTTTTACATCTTCAACACTTAGAACAGTGTCTGGCACATAGAATAAATGTCTAATGATTGACTTTGTTTTCCTTTCTACTTTCATATAATTTATCTCATTTTACTACCAGACTTCTCAAATATGTGATCTATTCTTGCAACTTTCATTTCCACACCTTTGTAACTCCAAGCAGTCTGTCATATGCTGCTGCTGTGTTATTGAAACTACAATCTCAAAGGTTACAACTGACCTCTTTTTTGGGGGGCCAAATCCAATGGCCTTTTCTCTTTTTTTCCCTAAATTTATTTTTATTATAGTTTTCTTGATCCCAGAGAACAGACGTTGAAGCAGACGTTTTGATAGAAAGGTGAGGACTACAAGCATGAAATGTTACATGTATAGTCAAGCTCAGTCACTGCATTGTTTGGTTTTGCTTAACTGTTTTCCTTTATTCCAAGAGTTAAGAGAAAAGAAGTAATATCCAGAAATGACTGCCATGTAAAAACAAAAGCAACAAAACTTATTCTAAAAAGAAAGGAAAATGGACTGATCATGTGGTGAGAGATAATAGAGAGCTGGAATACTGTACTTACACTAACAAGATACAACAAGACATAGAGGAAAGCTTCTAGCTCACCACTAGATCATTCTTGTAAGATGGATTTTGGAAGAACATGAACAAGAATGACACAGGGGGAGAAATCTTCAATGAGTTGTGATTTGCACAGATGCACTAAGGAGGGAAATATCCACACCAACTAAATCATAGCTCCATGTAATCATATGCCCTACAAGCCTACTATTATTATCTGTAATAATTAGGAAATAATTGAAAGGAGAATTGATTGGATTCTTTCATCTGTACTCCTTTGCACATTTAGTTGCAATTGCCCTCAAATCTATGTTCTGTAAAGTGTAGTACACCCTTACCTCCACCCACACCCCGGAGAAGTGCAAAATAATCTATGGAGGGTACGGAAAGGAAATATTACAGTATTTTTGTTTATAATTATTTTTATCTTAAAAAATAAAGGTTAAACTTTACTGATATTTAAAATAAGAATTAACAATGATGCATGCCTTCATTCACTGTGTTACATACCATGTCATTGGAATCCCAAGGGAGGAGTAGAGGAATTCAGTAAGGTGGAGGAGTGGGCAATGAGTGGTACCTTTAATCGTTTTGAGCTACACCAACACTCACAGAGTAGACAAGTAGCTTTAAACAGTTGGTGACAATGCTAATAATAAAAATGAAAGTGAAGAGCAAGAAAATGGTGGGGCTACCACTCCTCT